GAGACTCAGTCATGAGTCGAACTCAAACCCTATCTAGGATCGAGTCGCGAATAAGGCTAAGAGCCGTGTATTGCACAAATAAGCTCTCCTCGAGAGCCGGAGAAGTGGTTCTTTGATTGCCCTGTAGCAACTCTACTAGCTATCTAGCTAGGCAGCTCGAATAGCTACCGGCACTGACTACATGTACTTCTACTCCTAGCTAGAGCTACCGGTAGCTAGCAAGTTGCGCATGCATGAAGTACCGGTAACGTACGAGGACAGTACCACCGCTGGGAGCTTCTGTCTGAAAGAGCAGGACTTGTACCGGTACAGTCGTACCCGTGGACGAACTTCTCAGCGATGCCAGCCACACACGGTACCGGTACCGGAATCGCATTACAGTAGAGAACTTCACCTTGGCAGTCTTGCTGCCAGAGCCCTCAACCCCTTTAATTGTTTTTCCTGCTACGGTGGTCCCTGCGGGTATAAGGGTAGGGTTAGAATACAAATAAGTCAGCAAAAACTAAATAAGTATCCTAAGTCCTAAGATGGTGCTTTTGAACCAGCTAAAGCTATTTACATGCATCCTAGTAGGGGGATCTGCTTTTACCAGGAAAAACTCTAAAGCTAGCAAAAGCTATATAACTAGTATTCTAGCTAGCTTGGGGTATCTACTTCTAGCTTGCTATGGGAATCTGCTTTTAGCTAGGGAATCTGCTTCTAGCTAGCTAAGCACAAGTTAAGCACTAGCTAAGTACTACAGGTATCTGCTTCTAGCTAGAGCTAGCTAATAGGGGTATCTGCTTCTACACTGAAACTTTCTGCCGAGGTTACACAGCTCCGCTGGCTTATATCTTCTATGTTGTATCGTTTTGCTTAGCTAGCTACTAGAGCTACAGAGCGGTGAGGTCTTTCCAGGCCGCAGTCTCGCAAGACGCACAATCTGCATCTTTGTTCATCATAAAGGCATTGTGGACAACCTTGAAGCAGCACAAGATATTGAGACATACAGACAGATAGATGGATGGATGGAGCGATGGACTGCATTTTCGTTGCACTCTGTCTGGTGCTCAGTTTAGTGTTTCGGTTCCAGGTCTGGGTTGGTGCAATATACTAGTAGCACCAATCCCACACCGTCCCCAACTCTGATCAGGTGTACCTAGCTAGCTAGACTAGAAAGATAGTCCCTGCAGTGAACTGCCCATGCCATCCAGAGTGTGGATGGTGGAGTGAGGATGGCTGATCACGAGGCGGTGGATGGGAGGAGATACTAGTACTTCTGGAGTAGTACGGTTGGGATGACGAGATATTCTTATCAATGAGGGCCGCTGTTGGCGATAGAGGCCCACGAGTGAAGCGGCAAAAGTCACAAAGTCACCCGACAACACCATCCAACAACACGCCTTCTTCAATTCCTCTTCCCGTTGAGATTCTATATAATTTAGTCATACCATAGCAAGATGCCCATCATTGATCAACTTCGTCAACGCGACTTGACATATGCGATAGCGAATGCGGCGTTGGAAGATGTCAAGCGTGCGTTGGCAGCAGGGTCGGATCCCAACTTGGAGCCTTTGGGCTCGGATTACCATTCTCCCTTGGAACACGCCTTTGCCGAGCACTGTGCCGGTCGTCCGCACATGGAAGCCATTATCCGAGAACTGTTAAAAGCGGGCGTATCCCCGGAAGTACGTCGTGAAACACTCTTTCGTGCTTCCATTGAATTGGGAAATCGTCGTCAGAGTGCTCGCAATCCGTACGCTCGTCGTGTCACTCCGGAACGATTGCGAGATTTCATTGCCATTCTAAAGAATTACGAACCCGGTCAACACGACAATGCCAGTGTGGTCAAGAAACAACCGACGGCGGCCGCCACCATTCAAATGTGGCATCACATGTTGTTTTCGGAAAAATTCAGTGACGTGCAATTCCAATTTGAAGACAATACCGTCGTCCACGCCCACAAGTGCGTCTTGGCGGCTGCCAGTCCGTATTTTGACAATTACTTTTCCGGTCCGTGGGGAAAGAATCACCCGGATGGAGTTTGGAAAACCACCAACTCGGTGCCCATTATGAAGGCCGTGCTCACGTATATTTACACGGGAAGTGTCGATATGGATGTGTTGCTGCAACCCGAAAATTTGAGTCATACACTGTCGTTGGCGGTGCAATATCAACTGCCCGATTTGCAAAAATTGGTGGAAGCCAGTCTCAAAAAGGCACTCCAATTAGTGACCCTAAAAGATACCCTGGTGACGGCACAAATGCATTCCTTGATGGACCTCAAGGCGGCCTGTTTTGATTTCATTCGAACGCATTCTCTATCTGTCATGTTCGAACCATCCATCATGTCAATGGCACAAGAATATCCCGATCTGTGGATGGAATTGGCCGAGACTGTTGGTGGAAGAAAAAATAGCAACAAACGGCCGCGACCAGAAGATGGAGAGGGCGGTCAGGAAACGCATTAGCATTGATTGAAGATACTCAGCATCTATCTATTATCCATCAATCAGACACAAGATGCTCTCCAATTCGCCATAGTATTTTTTTAGGGATTATGTATGCATTATGTCCGATGCAATGGCCAAGTTATTGATGCCTGTAGTAAGGACAGTACATGTAGTGATCATGAGAGATTAGAATGTTGTGAACAAAACTGTTCAAATTCAGATCCCTTCGACTGACCTTCGTACAACAGTTTTGGATTGACCAATCGTATGCGGCAGCTGGTACCTTGCCTAAGCGCTCATGTGTCTCCCTGGGTGCTCAGAAGATGACCAGCAAGCTACGGTAGTTCAAACGTATAGGAGCAAATCAGCAAATCCATAATTACTAGACTAGCTAGCAACTACTACACATCCATAATGGTGGCATGCTTGGCATCGGCCACATCATTCAACTTTTGAATGGTTGCATCGGTCACATCATCAATTTCCTTGGCCACACGAAATACATCGTCTTTGGAAATGTGTTCCAACTTTCCATCCTTTCCCTGTTTGATGATGGAATTGTACCGACGTCGTACGCGACGAATCCGTAATCGAAAGTTTTCCGCTTTTTTGTTCAATTGTTGCGCTGTTTTTTGTCGCACTTCCAAGGATACCTTTGGCAGTGGTACTTTGAGTACCCCGGCGTCTCCTCCACTTTCGTCACTTTGTGGATTCAAACTCAATTGGACTTGAATGGCATTGCGGACTTCCTTGACTAGCGACGGGTCAAAGCAGGTCACACTGGCCATGGTGGGAGATGTAATCACCACTTGTGCGACAGCCTTGAGTGGAGTTTCCGAATCATAGGCATGAACCATAATGTCATCAAAGAGGTCGGGGGTGGGTTCGGCGCCTCGAATGGATTTGAGAGATTCTTCAAAGGAATTGACAATGTTCAGCATTTTCTCCTTGATTTCAGAAGGATCGGGTAGTTCCACTTCGTCCTCTTCATTGTCGTCGTCGTCATCGTCATCCCAATCGTCCTCTGTCGACTCCGATGATTCCGCCTTTGTGTTCTCAACTGCCTTGCCCTTTTGTTTTTTGAGTTGTTTGCGGTCCTTCTTTTTTTGACGTCGTTCTTGAGCTTGTTCTCGCTCTTGGGTATGAGCCATGTCATTCAACGTCTCCAAATGCTTGCCCATTTTGGCAGATTTCTTCTTCCCTCGAACTATTACATGATGTATTGGAATGCTTGCTGTCGTGGGTGATGATGGGCTGGTCACAGCTGCAGAGGACCTCCAAAGACAACTGGAAACAAGCCGACGAGATGCACATGTCGGTACGGTTGTCGTGGACGCGGCGGACACCAAGGATCGCCGAGCCAAATAGGACAATCGATTGCAGGAGGTAGAGATCATTGTTGTCTACCAGATCAGAGGAACTCGGACAGAGAGGTCAGGGAAGTGAATGGGATGGGTTGTTGAGTTGTGGGATGAGAAAAGATGCTCGAGTCCAGGTTGACACGCCCTTCGCAAATCGAAAGATCTTATCTTTGGGCTCATAACCGGTACAAGCATACCTCATACCTCCAAATCATTGTTGTCCGACAACGCAACCACAAGAGACTATTCCAAGGTTCATAGGGGGGTTTAGAGTAGGGAAAGCATCATTGATTGTCATTCTACTTGTACCGGTACCGTACTGTATACTGTACCGCTTATCGTTTTACCAATAATACCAGTATCCATCATAGCAGATATACTTTGTCATGATGGAGATGGAAGAAATTCTGCAAGGGCCACCTGATGTCAAGGTGGAGAGAGTTTGATGGGGCTGTCAAACAGCAGAGCCCACTGGCAAGAGATTCCAGCAGTGTCCTCAATGTCATGAAGAAGGCCTTATTCCAGCAGTATTCTGCTCCCAAAAGTGCTTCAAGAAGGCTTCGTCAAGACGCAAAAATGGCATAACGAGGAAGCTATAAGACTGAAAAATGATTTTGCATTTGACTTTGACCTTGATGGAATGAATCTTGATATTGTGGAAACTTGGGGAGCGGAATATTTGGTTCTATTTAAGTCAGCAGAAAGGAAGATATCTGATGGAGATATTGCTGGTGCCAAGAAGATGCTTCGCAAAGCTCAAAAGCTGGACTCAGGGCGACCAGAAGCTTTTGATAGACTTGCTCAATGTTTCTATGCATCCGGCCAAGAGGTGGAAGCCCGGTCATGCTTGGAGGAAGCATGCAAACGCTGGGCATTTCTTGCCCTGAATGGGCATCACGCTGAACAACTAAATCACAGTGGTTCTTATGCTCTTGGCTTATGGGCTAGTTGCATCGAAACGCTTAGTGTTCATTATATTCAAAACACCGACAACCAGCAGAAGAAACCAAATTGGTGGCGCCATGATGCCATGCTCAAGAGAGTCATAAAGGTGGCGCTCAATACATACACGAAAATGGATAGCGCTGAGTTTACGAAAACCCGTAGAGAAATGCGTGACGTGCACATTGTTCCAGTTCTCCGGCATTCATGCATATGCTTTGTCGGGTCAAATCACTCGAGGAATCTTCAAAAGCAACATTGCGTTTCATGGAACCATGCTCCAATTATTTTGGAGAATTCGTGTAGCCTCTAGTAGTGATTCTACACAAAGTTGAAGTTGTGAGCTTGACAGGACTAATGTTACTGTACAAATTTCAGTACTCCGAAAAGCTTTGCAAATTTTGCTGCAAAAGCGGGAACGAAGCATGATTTACCACGGTTCGCAGCAGGCATCGACAACAACCAAGAACCACCATGAAGCCTCATCAGCCGACGAGTTGGTTGGTTCATTCGGTCGATCCGCTACAATATACTACTACTGCTGAGACTGCAACTGGTGTATTCACTGAACGCCGCGAGGCAGTCGGACGCCGCGAGGGATTGTCTTTTCTATGAGTGTTGTCGCTCGCCGCGAGGGCTTTCTCCTTTCATTGAGTGTTGTCTCTTCTACTACATGTACTGACTGCTGTCGCTCGCCCCGAGGGCTTGTCCGTGATACTATGACTGTTGTCGCTCAAACACCGCGAGGGCTCCTCCCATTGTCATGGTGCCGGTTGGTTGATTGGTCGGTCGGTCCGTTTCGTTGGTTGGTTGTTGGTCTTATTGTGGGGCATCAGTTACCACGGTTCGAGTTTCGGCACTCTGTTTCAAGCTTGTCGCAGGTGACCTGAAAACACTCACAATTTGATTACTTAGTAAGTGCCGTTTTGTTTCTTTAACGGCCGTTAAGTTACTTAGCGTGAAATTGTCACATGGTTCCAGAAGAAACGCTCTTCCCCCTCCTGTGGCTCACTGGCGGGAGCTCGCCCGGCCGGCTTCGACCTAAATGTCAATCCGTTAGGATTTCCATTTAGGTCTCATCCGGCCGGGCTCGCTCCCGTTCCAGTTCGCCACCAGTTGGTGGAAGAGCGTTCCTCTACAGAACATCTCAAGAGTTGAAGGAAGCATCTGCTCTATTCAAGTATGTATCCGAAAAGGATGAAGCCAATGCTGCTTTATTCCAAAACTATTCTGACATGGCAATGGTATGTGCTACAGAAATGGAGCACGCAGAGGAGGGCGGAGAAGGTTGGACTGATGTGGAGAGGGGGGAAGCTGGTTTGTGGGTTTTGATCCATGGTCTTGGAAGTCCATCTGATTTGACAACGAATGGCAAATTTGGCACTGTCTGCTTGGATGGGTTGGAAGAGAGCCAAGTTGCGGTAAAGGTGGATGGAATCAGTGCACCTAAACGGATCGAACCCAAGAATCTACTGCAAATTCCGTTTTCAGAGACGAATGTGGCCCTCATTTCAACTTTGAGGGAAGATGACCAGTTTAAGTATGTGAGACTTTCCAGAGAACTCAAACTAGCTCATGTCTTGGTGGAACGGATGTGACATTGAGTGCCTGCCTTGTGTCGGGTTCTGCTCCCAGTACTTGCTCACAGCCATCGATCGTTGCACTGGCTTGGGTTGGTTAGCTGAGATGTAAATCAGCTTATGGACGATTGGCTGCCGCCATCAATAGGCGGTGTGAACTGCTTTGACTACTTGCCGTGCAACTGCCTTCTGGCGCATCTTGCTCTATCTTAACGCCGTTTCGGAACGTGTTGTCCTCATTTCCACATGCCATGTCTAGCTAGCTAGTCTGTTGGATTGATTCAGTGCTTGTTCAGGCAGCAAGCACATAGTCAACAGCGCTCGTTCCTGCAACGTGCCCAGTACCCCAACAGTTCATAAAGTTAAAGCCACCAGTCACCCCGTCCACGTTGATCACCTCACCACAGAGAAAGAAACCAGGACATGATTTGCTCATCATGGTTTTCATGTCAATCTCTTTCAAAGCCACTCCTCCGGCTGTCACAAATTCCTCTTTAAAGGTACCTTTCCCCGTCACTTGCAAGTCACATTCGGCAATAAAAGTAGCCAACTTTCTCACGGCTTTCTTGTTGATTTCCGCCCATGTCGTGGTGGGGTCAATTCCACAACCATGAATGACAAAGGAAGACCACAGTCGCTTGGGAATCGCAGCGATTCTCTTTTCCACAAATCCCGACGATTCCTTGACAGTACCCGTGACGGTCAAGGGGCAGCCCGTTGCCACCATTCGTTTTGGATTGGTCATTTGCTTTTTCTTAAGGCTGTCCAGAATTTCATCGACGGTTCCCAGGTCGGGCGCCCAGTGAATGCGCAAAGTACCTCTGTAGTTTGCCTCGTGAAAGTCACGAGCGCCAAAGGCACTCAACCTCAGGACGGCAGGACCGGATACGCCATGATGAGTTACCAGTAAGGGTCCTTCCTGTTGCAAGTGTGGCGGCGTTTTTTTGGATCGTTTCCTCTTTTTGGGTTGCTGCTGTACTTTGCCGTCGTCCTGACTGGTAATTGTCGCGTCTTTTTTGGATGATTCCTCGGGACGAAAAGTGACACGGGCCTTGGGGACGGATACACCAGCAAGTCCATGCAGTAAGCAGCCTTCTTCCTTGACATCCAGTTTTGTGTTCATTGTAAAGAGCGACGGTACTGGAGATACAAATGCCTTGCTAGGCTTTGTACCATTCTTCTTGCTCGTGGTTGCAGATGACGATTGTTCTAGTATGGATTGTGCCAACTGATAACCCGCTGGAGCGGATCCTGTGGCCAAAACAATGGCGTCAAAGTGTTCCTTTCGAACTTTTTTCTCGCCTGTTTTGTCCTTTTGCTGGGTGGATATCTCAAACAACAATGGACCATGGCTCCTTTGCTCGTCAGGATCCAATGCCGGAATGCCAATATCCAGTACTTTTTGACGCTTGCGAATATCCACCAATCCCTTTCGTGACGATGCTGACAAGAGAGCGTCAATGACAGTTTGGCTATCGTCTGTAATGGGGAACATTCTACCATCTGGCTCTGTCTTGAGTTCCACGCCCTGCTTTTGAAACCATGCTTGGGCTTGTTGGGGTGTGAATCGACTCGATAGAAGACCGGTCAATTCCTTTTTGCCACGGGGATACCCATTCAAAATCTCGGCTGTTGATTTGGAAGTGTCATGGAGTACATTGCATCGCCCTCCACCACTAATGGCAACCTTGGTCAACGTTTTAGAGGTGGCTTCCAGGACCACAATTTCCAAGGGAGGACTGCCGACGACATTATTTTGTCTCTCAAAGTGCTCGGCGGCGGAAATGGCAGAAAAGATACCAGAAGCCCCTCCCCCAATCACAGCAATCCTCTTTGCTTGATGACTTGACAAGGCCGACACTGAACGTAATGTGATACTACTAGTGGGGAGGAATCCAATTATGGAGACCATGAGCCGTATTGCAACGCAGTTGTTGGCCATGGCATCATCATTGTGGTAGATCTATTGTACCGGTTTCGGTAATAGCTAGTACATACGGTGGACCATAGAGTGGTGGGAAGCAAGCAGAGAGCTCGCGGCGTCACAGCTGCTTTGCAGGAGGTGGGAAGCCAAAGGACAGCTGAAGGACAGAGGGACAAGACAGAAGGTGCATTCTTGTTTTTTGGCAAAGTGTGCGACCTCAATATTGTGTTGACATAACGCCTGTTCTCTTTCCTCTCTTTATTTAATGTTCTCCCATGGTTTCTCTCACGTCAGGCTTTCTACTTGACCACATGGCCAAACCAAATATTTCAGCTTTGAGAAATGCTCCGAAAAGTGATTTTGGCTGTATCTGTGATTGGTTTTTCAATAAAAGGACCGGTAAAGCGTAGGCAAAGACACTTTTGCAGCTGAGAGTTCTCGTTACAGATTCTTGTGTGCAAAATAGTTAATGAGGGAAAGAGTACCAGACTCGGCGACTCGGTACTGAATGTTCTCTCTTCGACGAACAGAGTATACGTTTTAGCCCGGTTTAGGAACCCGTAAGGTAGTGGAATCAGAGAGCAGCTAAGAGCTAAACCATCGAAGTTTGTTTGAAGCCAACAGACGGGAAGCCCATCATGATGTTCGGGTTTGCTTTTTGAGGGCTGCTTCTTAGTTAGATCAACTATGCCAAGTTGTAAAGGTTGGAGATGCATGTGGTGGATCGCATGGTCCTGTTTGCCTCGAGCTTCTCGGCCAGAGGCAGCAGATTGAATGATTCCCATTGCTCCTACTTTGGTGTTCGTGTTCGTCCCAGAGAGCGTACTGCACCTACTCGCCACCACGAGAGATAGTTTAGCCCTTCCTGTCCAAACTTGCAGAGCTTTTTAGGCTCCTGAATCGCCTTGATGCCGCCAATGAATCTTGTTGAAGTTCAAGTGTGCCAGATGTAGACAGCTAACCGCTGAACCGTGCAGTTGACTAGTAGTAGTAGTACTCTAGTAGAGCTACTCAAGCCAGTAAGTTGCTCAGTGGCTCGAGCAGGCGACTGAGTCGCCGCTGCATCTTGATAGAGCTCCTTGAATGAGAATGGTAGAATAAAAGCGAAGGCAAATTTGTTACTCTCCTGGAGCATGGTTTTCCACTGTTTTTCAATAGAAATAGCTTTCTAAGATGTTGTGTGCTTTCCCTTACAGACACGTGACCCGAAACCCATCACAATTTCAAAGACCAGCCTCCCCAATCCGAACACAAACAACAAATGCGAATAGCTTTGCGAATGTTGCTCCTGGCCATCAACAAACTGATGGCACAAAACCATTCCAATACGACTGCGTGGAAGCTACTGTGGTTCGGTACACTTCCGTTGTTCGTTTTGTTTCTCTCCCCCTCTTGAAAAAGCTCCTACAGCCAGCCAAATGAACGCCTCGTACACCAACAGCGATGCGAACGCAGCATACCTGATGGCTTCCCTTGACCCACCAGCAGTACATGTCCAACAGATGAACCAGGAGCTCTCATTATCGCAACAGCAACAGACTCTACATTCAAACGAGAACGTTCCTCCGCGCTTGGATTCGAACTCTAGCAACCAGGTCAATAATAACACCAGCTCCGCCAGCACGCACACGGTCAACACCATGAACAACTTCAATTTCAACAGCATATCGGCATCTAACAGCAATGCTAGTCAGCAGCAGCAACAGCAGCAGCTGCTGAATCAGCTCATGGCTGCCATCAATGCCAATGGCGGAAACAACGTGAACTCGAGTCTATTCCAGCAGCAGCAACAGCCGCAGCAGCAGTCTCTCGTAGCACACAACTCTGCTTCCGTGAACCAGAACGTTCAATTGTCGACGCTTCTTCAGAACCAGTCGACTCAACAGCAGCAAAATGACTTGCGCTTCTCCGCAGCTAGCCAGCAACAACGGCAGCACAGCCTCAGTTTGGCGAATCTATCTGATGGTCTACAACAGACACAAGCGTTCGCCCCTAATCCCCCGCAACAGCAGCGCCATCATAGCTTGAGCTTGGCTCCCTTTCAGAATGTGACTGCCGCCGCACCGGCTCCCCAACAGCAGCAGCAACAACCGCAGCAAATGTTGCCGGGAGCTCTCCTGGGCAACATTGCCAACGGTCGAGCAGGATCCACCGCCGGTGCCCTCATGGCTCTGCAACAGCAGCAGCAACGCACCATGGATCCTTCCGCCCCGGCTCCTGCCCCCTCTGCCAGCAAGCAGCACAAACAGTTCTTGCTCTTTATCAAGATCCTGCTCAAGTGCCTGGATGCCACGCAGAACACGGTCCTCAAGCAACGCACCAAGGCCATTGTCAGTGAATGCACCCGACGAAATCGACAAGGCGTTCCCGGTTTCACGCCCCTGCAAGATGCGGTCGAAAAACAACTGCGGGGAGTGGTGGGCGAAGAGTACTGGACACGAGCCCAAAAGTACGTGCACACATACAACCTCAAGCAACCGCGGCTGCTGGCACGGGCGCAGCAACGAAAACAGCAGCAAATGTTACTCCGCCAGCAACAGCAGCAGCAAATGTTGCAGCGAAGACTGGGAGCAGGTTTGCAGCCCACGCAAATGACAAGGTTATAGATGATGACAAGTGTTCATTGGAGGGTGAGCAAAGTAGGGAGGGAAACGTAACTGGCTGCACTTGATTGATTCATTCATTCCACATGTTGACAGTACTAATTTTCTTAAGAGAGATAGAAGTGAACACGTTTAAAAAGTTTGCACGCACAGTTTGGTTCCAGAGTTGGCATTTGGCCTTCGTTATTGCACGACCAACATCGTGCGGGGCACTCCTCAAGCTGACCATTGGGAACTATTGCCGAGCCAGCACAAGCTCAGCACCGCACCACCTTATTGATTTGTTCAAAGCCGGCGCCATCTGCTGGCTATTGATCCTCCTTGGCCTTGGCTCCTTTCTCCATGATCCCTGGCACCATCTTCCCCACATCTACATCCACTTCCCCAAATCTGCTAGTCCACTAACACTCAACCCCCCAAAGTCCTCAATCAGATGACCATAACTATGCTACATCTCACATCTCCAGGATTCTCAACCTGTTTCCCCGGCTAACCTTACTAAACACTCTGCCCACGTCAATCTGTCTACACACCTTGTCATTCATCTCATGTGCTTCATTCTTTGCATGTGGTCCCTCTGCCTTTTGCTTCAGATTCATTCCACTCCAGCTACCTGGTAGTTTGGCACCAGCAGTCCTCAAGCTCTACCATGGCTATGCATATGCAGCAACCTCAAAAAACTCTCACTCCGATGCACAGCAAATGCAAAGCGCCGATTTTTCGTGATCGTCGCCAATACTACATGTACCATACTGTACTAGATAATGATGACGCCTTAATAAAATAAATTATTATTGTATAGTTGTTCAATCTGCGGCTGTGAAGTCGAACCGTCATTGGCTCAACAATCTTTTCAGGATTCTACCGGTACAGTGCTGGCAACTTTGTCACCGGAGAACGCTCTTATCAGGAGAGTATCCGAGTTGGAGGGTACTACAGAATTCAAATGCAAACACAATTCGAGTGTCCTCCCCTTCTCAAAGTCGAACCTGATGAACTGAATAAGTGCAATTGGAGTTGCTACGAAAACCTAGCTTCAAGTTTCACCTCAACGAATTCATCATTTCGTTTGGTCCTCATCGCCTAATCACCGAGGATCACAACGATGAACTCAATGTTCGCCCCATGACGATTTCTTTGAAACATTCCTGACATGATGACTGCGCTTGACAGGTTTCCTTGGAAGTAGAGCGAAGGCACGCGACAACTTTCAGGACCCACAATAAGTGCTGTAATCAGACCTGCTCTTTTGGCACAGATGGCCCTGCAGACGCCAGCCACATGTCCACAATGGAGACTTCGACAAATGTCCAAATGGAGACCCATGAGGGTTTCGTCAGAAGTACCGTACCGGTAGACACAGAGTTCGAGATCTTGGAGGCTTCCAACTGAAGCAATTCCTCAGTTGTTTGTGGATGCAGCGAGCTACTAGAAGCAATTGTGATGCTAATCCAATGTAACCATTGACAGATGGAATTAACCTTTTCTTGTCCGAGTCTGTATTCTTTTGAAAAGAGCATATTATATTGCTTAGCGTTGTCGTTCGCATATCCCAGTACCGCTACCTTCCTTCGCCGTTCCATTAAAAGTCAATAATCAGTAGCCTGAAGAAGGACACCAGCATCGTTTGCACCCAGCGGCACCGCGTCCTAAGGTTCTACTGTGTCGTTCCTGACATTCAGCAATACTCCAAAATATGGATGATAAATGTTTTCGTTTGATGGGGGCTCCAGAGTTGTCTGACCAGAGGCTGTGTTGAAACAACCACATTCACAGCCACACAAATTTTCGCTGCAGTCGAACACTGTATCATTGAGGTAGCAAACCTCGCTCGGAATGATACCTGTCAATTGGTTGCCGTGTAGGTACAGGTGGTCTACTGGCAACAGTCCAAGCTCGGATGGGACCTACGAGTGATCAACAATAACTCAAAACGGTAAGTCGCGATCAAAGAGCACTCTGTCGATCTTCTTGGTTTGTGGCATGGCAGGGCACTTACTGTTCCACTAAGATTGTTGTTGGCCAACACAAAGTACCATTGCATGTTAGTGAACCTTCCGAATTCTGATGGAATCGTGCCGCCAATCTCCGTGTCATACAGGTCAAAGTTCTGTAGGTTGGTCCACTGACCCAACTCGGAAGGAAGCTGAATGAAAACGGTGTGCAACAAGAGAGATAAATGAGTGCATCTGATGCGATCTCTTCGGTATTCAGCGACGATAGACTTGACACATACCGTTCCTGTAAAGGCGTTTCCATCCCATGACGGCCATTCCATCAGAGTGAGCTGCCCCATCTCTGCAACGTAAAGTGAGCAAGCAACATCAATCATTGTCAGTCATCCGTCCAAGAAAGCTTCAGGCACCCTCCACTTTTATTCTCGTACCTGTGGGGATCTGTCCGCGGAGAAAGTTATTCCACAAGTCCAGTTGTTTCACATTGGTAAGCAAACCAAGTTCCGAGGGAATCTGGCGGATTCGAATTGAGGAAAGTTGAACAAAGTATCCGTAAGTGAAGTGACAATGCCACATGCAGCGTGTGACCCTCTATGCTGAATCATACTCACTGTGCCTTCAAGAGACGTCCCTGACAAGTACAAGTATTCAACGTTCGACAACCGACTCAGCTGTGGTGGAATCGTACCAGAGATGTAGGCGTTTCCGTCAAACAGCAAATACCGAAGCTTCGTAAGTCGCGACAGTGTCTCGGGGATCTGTCAATAGAGGGCAAGCAGCGGGTAAGAAAACTGTGATTGAATTCACGGGCAACGCCTCGTATCAATGCTGACTCACGGTGCCACTGAGATAGTTGTAGGACAACATCAAGGTCTCAAGATTCGTCATGCCTCTCATATTTGGCAGTGTACCAAAGAACCCGTTTCCTCCGAGCGCCAAGACTTCCAGGTTAGTAAGTTGCGAAGTATGTGGTGGAATTGCACCCTTCATCTGGTTCCCGTTCAGATCAATACTCCTGAGGCGCGAAAGTAATGAAATCTCAGGCGGAATCATGCCATCAAGTTCGTTTTGCCAAAGCGACAAATGCTGAAAGACACCCCCATTAGGGCGCAAAGGTCCAGATCCAAAGGAGTCTAGTTCACAGGGATTGTAATGCTCAGCTCCAATGCCAGAGTCGCCAACATAACCATCAAATGGCCCATGGAACAACCATTGGCATTCATGGACATCATGGTTGAGCCAGTTCTCATTGTTTGCCCAAAAAGGCCCGTTCGTGGCATGGTAGAAGGTGGCCAAAGCAAACCGTTGAAGAATGCGATCATCCGAGTAGTGCGGAAGGTAGGCAGTATCATTGAACAACCATTTGAAGGCTTTGGACTGTGGAGAGAAGGGGTCTTCCAAGGACATGAGGGTGGTATCAGGTAGCAAGGACAAGACATACTCCTCGTCCACAGGCCTTGGGCCCGTGGGTTCATCATCTTCAGGTGTGGGTTCGTCGCCTCGAGGTCCGTCTTTTTGGGGCGTTGGTTCGTCTTCTTCATCTGGTGGGGTAGGAGAAGACGTCGGCCTCCCCGGTACACTCGCCCCTGCACTTGCGGAGGACTTGGTAGGAGACGCCGTGGGAGCAGCGTTCGTGTTGCTGGGAGGGGGTTTCGTCGTGGTGTGTGCTTGGGTTGGCTCCGTTGTGTAGTGGTCCTGGGCTTGTGGCTCACCCATTTGATGGCTATGGGTGGGAAGAAAGGTTGGCGCCGATGTCGTTGGTTCCTCCCTGTCTGGCTCTCGCAAGGGCCTTGTTGGCGACTCGGTTGGATCTGTATTCATTTGTGTTGGCACCACAAGAGTAGCCTGTGTAGGTGCTGGAGCACCAGGTGAAGCAGCGGTTTCATGCGTGGGGTGAACCGGAGTAAGACTTGTTGGCGCCGCGTTTGACAGTTGCAACTCATCAGTCGAATTATCCGTCCTGGGCGAAAGGATGGCTGCCATTATGATAGTAAAGGCAATCAAGCCAATGACGCCAAGCAAGAATTTAGTTTTGCGTTCCTTGGTCATCTTCCATTTGCTCTCGAGGGACGCTGCGTCCGTGACGGCATCTTCTACGAGCGTGGGATCAGGAGCAATTTCATGACCCGAAGACGACGCCACGGGGGGTGCTTGTTCGACCTTGATGCCAATCTCGGGATCTTTGCCATCTGCAAATGAACTGGCTTCAACTGGGTTGTTTTGAATGGCTCCTTTGGCTGGTTCATCTCCACTTCCATCTACCGGTATGGTGCATGGGGCAGCCTCTGTTGTTTGTTCGGGCTGAGATACCGCCGTTACAGGCTCTGTCTCAGCCTGGGGTGCTACCAATCGTGGTTCAGATTGCGGATATTCTGGGACTGCTTCTTGTTCCTCGGTAACAATCTGAATAACAGCTTCAGGTCCTTGATCGACAACCTCAGGTTCAGGTTCAGTTTCAACACTTGAATCCTCATCGGTCACAGTCGTCACAACACCAAATTCCTCCTTCACGTCGGGCTCGAGAGAAACAATTCCTACAACAGGTGTACTGACTTCGTTCTTTTCTTCGAGATCCTGCTGGTCCGTTCCTTCCTCGTCGGCCTCCGGTGGAGCACCGTCCGCACGACCAACCTGATGATCCGACTCCTGGTCTCCTTTTTCCGTGGGGGCGTCGCTTTTTTCCACTGACCCATCATTTACCTCAATCGGCATTTCGAAAGCTGCACCGGTGGGCTCCGGCTCCAAATCGGGCTCTGGCAGTCCATCAGTCTCGACAAGGCCAGCCTCTTCATCACGAACCTCTCCTCCTCCTGCTCCATTGAAACTCATTGCATCGCTTGGATCAACGCCAGATCCACTTTGTATAGTCAGGGCTGGAGCGTCCTGTTCCACTTCCACCGGGTCGGTCATCACACAGCTCTTCTTGCTCGACTCCATGCAGAAGCGACGGAAGCGAGTTGAGTTATTTTAGCTGGTTGTTTTTCACAGCCAAATATTGTGCATCCGATTGGAGTCGAATGCCAACGGTATACATCAGCCTGCAGTACCATCCCACTGTTTTGGTCGACCTTCGACGAAAGGAAGGGAAGTGGCGAACTTTGTCTTTCCTGGCCAATGCGGGCCCAAAAATGTCGGCTACGCAAGGACACGAAACACGATTGCCCAATGTCGCGCTTAGTTAGACTGTCGAACGACCACTTCCCCCCTCTGTGGAAGGAAAGAAAGAAAACAGGTGTTACATACTGTAGCATCATACACCCAACACTGAGCAAAATTGCTGCGAGCCGAGTGTGTTGGAACGACGTTGATGGGACCATCGGTGGTATCTGTACCGGTACTGTACTGCATCGGTACCAGCGAGTTTTTATGTGGACGATATCTATCTATGCAAGCAAACAACGGAACTTTGAAAGTTATTGTATTTCATGGATTGATTTACAGGTTTCGGAAGAGATGGGAACATAGGCAACATTCCAGATATGCGTTGCCGACCATGAAGGAAGCTCTTTCAAAAAGATCTCGGCTCAGTGTCAAACTAGGGGCATGAACCGCTGTTGGAACTTCTAGCGAAGGGGAGTGTCGCGTCTTCGACAATTCTCCGCTCGACCCATACCTTTGGAAACATGTTCTCTAACTCAAAATCAACATCATCGCTTCCATCGTACCAAAATGTTTCTTCAGAATCCGAGTCGGCGTCATCGGAATCGTTTTCCATCTTTGCCTCCACACCGAGGAGATATTCTCGAGCGCATTGGTTAGCTTTCCTCTTTGACAGGAACACACCAAGGATTTTCTGGTCCACGTTGCTCTTTTCCGGTGTAGGCTCACCGAAGTCGCTCCCACTGTCAATTTCCGATTGGCAAGCCATGGCAAGAAACACCGTACCGTAGTCAACTTGAACACCATATTTTCGACGTTGTGCCTCTCGTACCAATGTTTCAGCACTCGGTCCTGGGATGGGGTCTCTCCGAGAGCTAAAGGTTTGTCAGTGAGACAACCGCACGACTTCAATGGATACGTCAAACACATAGATCGTCCCACCAGCACGTACCTGCGGATGCGATAGAGCACCCGGTGAATGTGTTTGCATGGGCCTCCTTTGGGACATGTACAACTAGTACTTTGAATCTCTGATCCATCTCGACGAACTCGCACAGAGACATTGTAGGTTCTTTCCCCCGTTGAGGAAGGAACGTAAGCGTCAACGCACGCCATGCTGTCATCATTCTGCACGGATCGACAGCTGATAGCAACAATTGCCTGACTTCCATGAAACCTGCCGCCACCCAGATAGCTTCGAATGGTGTTGTTTGTCAACCGGATAGAAGCCATGGTTTAGATGAGATCAACGACGAGAATAGCTTCTTTGGCTTGGGTTCTCCAGCTCTAGCTCCGTATGATAAAGCAGCTGCAGATTGTGACTGACCAATGCTCTTTCGATTCGATTCCGCTTTGATTCTTCGATGGCCTCCCACGAAAACCTGGACAACAAGACTCGCTCATTCCACCATTTTCGATTTCTGTGTTGCACTTGTTTTCGCACTTTTACCGTTGGCCCTCTCATCAGTTCCAACCCATTCGATGCCGAGGATCTTCATATATAGTTTTGATCCGCTCTCGTGCCATGCAGTAATCGATACACAATGCACATATTATGGGCAACCGAAAGCAACTTCATAGGAATTCACTCGGCAACTGGCGACGAGGGTTCAAAACTTGGGTTTTGATCGATCTACTTTGCTTTAGCAATGATCAGCGATTATCCTTGTCAGGCAACGAAAGCTTGTCTGCATGCTGCTCTCACCAGCATGTCGCCCTGGAGGGACGGACTGGGCTCACTAGCTAGCTAGAGTTGTCGACCAGGACAGAAGAATCGAGAGCCGCTTATTGGAGTGTGAATTCCACATCAGCCCGCCCTACGGTAGCTACGATGTAGCTCTGATACCCATGTTCCCACTCAACCCAACCCAGTGTCGTTCTTCCTGATGGATGGAGCGTTGCCACAATGACGGGAAAGGTTGCCACGGCGAGGCACTCCCGTGCTGGCGGTTGATGCTACAAAAAGGTTAGAGCTAAGATGCATGGATCTTTGGATCTTTTCTTCTCATTCTTTTTGAAAACCGTGTCGGTTGCTGTTTGGAGTGGAGATAAGGAAGACGTGAAAGGCACCATGACGGCCATTCGATCAGCTTCTCTGCTACTAGTCTGCCTTGCTCTTCTTTCTCTCCGAGGATCGGATGCTCTCTTTGTCCAGCCTCGCTATCGAGTCAAGTCTTATCCTGCCTTGAAATTGGCAATTGCCGATCGCCTTGGCATTCCCTACAAGAGCGTCGCATACGATGCTGGAAAGCAAGCATCTTTGCCTAGCTTTGCCCTTTCTCTCGATGCCAAATTTGGTGCTCTGGATGAGGCGTCGTTTAATGCTCTCCAGAAGTCTTATTGTGCTTGGTCTGAAACAAAGTCAAAGGTCAAGTGGAAGGAGGGACGAAAGTATCGGCTCTTGGACTTTTTGCCACCACTGCCTCAAGCCGTATCGGGCCTCTACTTTCAGTCCTCTCGGACCAAACAACGAGGCCTTCCTTCCTTTGTGGGAGGACCCGATGAAAGAGTCAAGCGATATACGGATCAAGAAGTGCTCTTGACATCGAATTGTTGGGGATTCGCCTGGGAACTCTTGTTCCAAGCCGATAATGCCGATACTTCGGCCATGACCATCTCTACCGCGGATCCTACCAGTGCGTGGAGGGAATTCACGGGCCCGGGCTTTGACTTGATACAGAGTTCAAGGACGCAACCAAAACTGCTCAAAGACGGCAATCTGCGAAATCGAAAACTCAAGGGAGGAGACGTTTTGCTCGTGTGGCATGAGAATCCATCCACAGCCTCCGGGGAAGATCTCTATCTGGATCATGTTGCTACAGTCATTGACGACGATGTCTATTTCGAGAAATCAGGCAGTGGAGACAGAGTGCCATTCCGAGTCAACACGTGGGATGGTCTGGTAGCCAATTTTCCACCGTCCGTGTTCTTTTGGGAATGGCGACGCCTTGTGAGGAACAATCCACTCTCTCCCACTGCTATTTACGGAAGTCCCCAGACCAGATTGCGACCAGCTACCGAAGTCTTTGGGATTGATGCACAAGTTGCATCCTCCAGTAATACCGGTAGCTACGCGGATCGGTTCCTCAAGGACAGATTCTCCATCCTTTCCAAGCTTCGACCTAGTGTACAACAAAGCCTGAGTCTCCAGGCTGATACAGGTGAGGGACTGTTGTACATGTATCATATTTCTGGATTCTGGAAATGCATTGTCTGTGTTCTGACCATTTCCTCGTGCTTTGATTGATTGATCTTTGACTACTAGGAGAGGGAGGAGTGATCGAGGCACAAACCTACACGGGGATTCTTGTTTTGGAAGACTTGGTCTTTGACAAGGCAACTGGCCGGGCATCACTTCCCAGCAGTGCCTTTGTCCCAGAGTGGTACATGAAGGCGTTAAAAATGATGTCAAAGAATCCTTACACCTGATGATACGGTAATATGAAACAAGGAGAAATTACAAACTACCTTATATTACCAAATCAACTACAGTACCTTGACAATACTACTACGGTATCACATCACCCAACAATCTTCAGAATTTCTCAAGTTTTGAACCTCCACCTTTTGCTGCCTTCAATGTCAACAAATGACTTCCAAGGCCATCTCTTCATTGCTCACAACAGCATCTTGGCTTGGCTTGAACTCCAATCCACTCTGATAGAACATATATACATACATGCACCAAGTAAGTTGGTTGAGTACTTGTCTAAAAACGCACATTACTTATGGACAACACTTATGGTAAGGTACTGGGTTATCTTGCTGTAACAAAATGTAAAATATAAAATGGTGACTCTGGAATGACAATTGGCAGAAATGGGCGCTGTAATGATGATGAAACGATGCTTGTGTTTGTATTGAGGCACTCTTTCCATCTCTACTGTATGATTGATTGATTGTGAGTGTGTGTACACGGATTGTTTTTTGTGGCTCACTCATCAGTAGAGCCTCGATCCAAAGGATGGAGTCCATGACACTACTTGTTGTGGTTTTGGTGGTATGCCTTGTCTTTTCTTGTTGCGCCGTGGCGGCGATGGAGTGGTTACTACCACGTCGCCATAAATCCTTCCACAGTCGATTTCTTCTTCGTGTTGGGCTTCCTCTTCGGATTCATATTCCAACAAGCCATCCATCACCGAGAGGATGCACTCCCCCGCCAATGACTCTTCCTCTCCGTCACTGTTTGGTTCATCGTCATCGTCATCTTCTGCGGTGGAAAAGGAGTAGGAGGATGTCACCGACATGGTCCACTCCTCTACTGCAATTTTGTTGTTGCGTTTAGTGTTGGGTTCCAAGACTTGACAGAGTTCCGACAGAATGGCGCTGGCCACTTGCGGATTGTCTGGTTTGGCAGTCTTCTGTTTCCTCATAACCGATTCTTTGTTCTTACTGTCGTTGTCTGGTTCTTGTTCTTCGTCTGGGTAGTACATGTACGTCTCCAAAAACTCTCGGAACGTCGGAGGTTCTTGTGCCGTGTCTGCACTCCGACGACGATGGTGTTTATCCCAATACTTGAATCCAACTAGTCCAACTGGTACGAGCATCATGATGGCAGTGTTGTTTGTTTTGTTGTTGTGGAATGGATGAATAATGTGATGAGAGCAAGAGAGAAATCAACACAACCATCAACCATTCATCAGCACAAGCACCAAGCAGAAGAGACGGAGTGGAATGGCAGTCTCTCAAAATTGTGAGCCTCCAGACAATTTTGAAACAAAAGGAGAAAAATGAGGTGAAAGCGTCATTCAGAGACTTAGAAGGCAAGAAAACGGTCTTCAAGATTGACCCCACACGTCGGGTTGTTGACGAGACGGCGAGCCTCCACAAAGTTGCTGGTGACGGCGAAAGGGACCAACCATTCATCATCTCATCGAACGCTACGGTAGCTAGCTAGACAATCGGGGTGTTCGTTGTTGACATATTGGGTCCTACTGGTACTGGGAAGAAGAAGCTGAAAGATCTCGTAGTTGGTCACCTTTTGGCAGCAAGTGTAGGTTTGACCAAGCCCGTCCACTTTCAAGAGCCCTCAAGACGACTACAGGGTACTAGCAGAGGACGGAGAGTGAATATTTGGGAAGAACCATAATGTCATCGTCATCCCCCATGATGGAGCAAACGCTGCTTCGTGTCAAACGACGACGGAATGAACATCCTCCTTCCACAATTCGACTCGAGCTGCTGGGCGGTTGGAATCGAACGAATGACGAAAATGATAGTGACGGTGCCAACAGTAACAACAACAACAAGACTCCCTTGCGGTCCTCTTCCACAGCCACATTGGCCGATTCCCGACACTCCAACATGTCCACTTCGACCAATCAAACTCAACCTGTCAACAATACATCATCATCGCGTTACACCACGGCAGCCGCCGTCTGGAAACGAGTCGAAGTACTCGATGCAGACGGGCCAGCAGCGGCATTTACCGGCGAAAAGCGCTGTCGCGTCGTCGATGCTATTTTAGAGGGCGATGGTCGGAGTACGAAGCGACGCAAATTAACGGTACTGGGGGAGTTCAAACAAGACAATAATAATACTGACAACAAGACGAAAAAGGCCAAAAAATCCAATATCTACAAAGTGTTGGATCCCGTCACTCGGTTGGTCGACGATTCACTCAATATGGTCCACAGCGGTGACAAGACGGTGGGCGATCATTACAATTTCATCACTACCGATCCTCGGCTCGCCACGGAAGCACGGTCGCATTTATTATATCGCAATCGCGGTGGCACACTCTTGCATGCGTGTGCCCAATGGAATGATGTCGAAACGGCACATGACTTGCTGCGAAAATCACTACCGGGGATGGCGGATGCCGTCGATGATGATGGGAGAACTCCGTACGAAACGGCACAATTGTGCGGTCATGAATCCATTGCGGGAGTGCTAGAAGCCTTTGGAGCCGACACGACCAATTTTGTCTACGACATGTTTGTGCCAGAAGAAATTCAGGTAGTTTCGGCAACTACTAGCAACAACAACAATAACGCACCACAACAGCTACAATCCGCTTCTACCACCAACATGAGCACAGATTTAGAAGAAGAAGAAGAGCCATGGGATCCCCTCAAAAAATCGGCCGTGGAACCGATGGGTACTAGTACTACCAAAAGTTCCAATAATGGAGGAAACGGCAATCATCCGCCAACGCCCGACTTGTCTCTAGTCGATACGAGTCGGCTACTCGAGCTGCAGGGAGGAGTTGGATATTGGACCGAAGACGGAGAATTGATTTTGGAGGTGGAACATCATCATGTCGTTTCGGCTGAATATGGACATGATTCCGATGATGATTATGACGAGGAAGACATTGACTCCAATTGCGAGGATTACGGTGGAAACGATTACCCAGAAGACGAATCCTGGGATCAAGAGTTCCTCCATGAAGAACCCGATATTGAGGATGATCCTTACAACCCGACGACGGCGGACGAGTATGACATGTGGTGATGTTACTTCGTTGAATAGAAAGACAAGACTACCGTAGAACTGAGGATGTTGTTGGTAAGGATAATCGAAGTTAGAGGGATTTGCTATTCGCTAAGAGTTCGTTCGGTATCGCAGAGTATCAAGCGTTGATGAATTACCGGTACTGAAGGAAGAAGCGGCTGAATGATTAGGACTCATTGCCAGGTTCGATGATGTAGCTGCTGCTTTGCTAGATCTCCGCCTGACGCCATTTTGATGGTGCATACAGGCGAACCAAGTCATCTTTGACAAAGCGTTTTTGGACTGATACGGAGCTGGAGGAGGAAATGGAAGCTGTCTCCACATGATCCATCATTCTGCTGATTGTCACCTCCTTTTGAGCACTCGCACGGGCTTCCATCTTGAGCCATATGAAGTCAGCCAGCATATTGTTTTCCATGAGCAGTTCTTTTTGCTTGACCGAGTACAGTGGAGGCAAAAAGTCCTTGCCGAGCGACTTCCATAGATCGTCATAGCAATCCTTGTGGTCTCTCACAATCCAAATGAGACATTCCATCCATATCTTCAGAAAGACGGAAGGTTTTCTCCACAGGATATAGTTGATCATTGAAAAGCACACGGATCGTGCTGTGCTCAGGTTGTAGTCCAGGCTTGCTTCTAGAATGTCGAGAAAACTGTTGAGCTTTGTCTGCTCTTTCTTGGTAAGGTCGTAGTTCAGACCACCCCTGAACACAAGGGCTGGCAGTAGCTCCCTTGATATCACAATGTCACATGCATGCAATCCCATTGGGCAGCTCAATTCTCCAAACCAGGAAAGCGCCCTCATCACATTTCGTCTGTTGACTCGCTTGGTAGACATGGGTGCCATCATGTCGACAATCATCTGCCACTCCTTGGGATCTCGGTATGGGAACTCAAAATAGAGCGTTTCTTCTCCCTCCAGTTTACTTATTCGACCTATTCTACTGCGCAGGGCTTTGTCAAAGTATTCACTCCAACAACGCAGTGACTGACTGTATTCTTGAAACTCCTGCCCGCCCACCACAATCACCACATCGGGATCGAGCGAACTGCGAACACATGTCTTCTTGAGTGGAGGCGACCCGCTCCGTTTTTGCGTCGCCACTGTCTCGTTCGTAACAGGCGGATTTGCCATGGTCAACAACAACTAACTGATCAACTCTACTAATCAGCACGCACTGGTTTGATTGATCGAAAGTGATCGCTAAACATGAAAGCAAACTCCAGTCAGTAGACTACTGCCACAATTTCGGGCCATCGTCCAAATGTAGAACATCCTCTGAATTTTGAAGGACGAATTTTGTTAGAAGCTCGGCGGGAAGATGGGCTCGGTCCCGCTTGCGCACGAATGAGAGCCTTAACTCTATCTGTTTTGTGCAATGAAACAACTCGGTACGAGTTGTGTACTAGTACCCCACACCGGTACCGTACATGTACCGGTACATACATGAACATACTTGTAGCTACATGTAGTATGGCATAGTCAGCTAGACCTGTCGAGTTTTGTTTTTGCCACAGGACCATACTTTACGTACTAGTACCGTACTAGCTAGTAGAGGTGCGGATGTTTTGCCGCCGAAGTGCGGTCCATACGGTAGAGGTGCAGAGTTTTGCCGCCGAGATGTGGACCCCAGAGGTGCAGATTTTTGCCACCGGGGTGCGGACCCTGGAGGAGGGAAGAGTTTTTGCGGTGAGGTGCAGACCCCAGAGGTGTCAAAAAAATTTGCCGCCGAGGACGGGCCATAATAGAGGTGCAGCGTTTTTGCAGCTGAGGCGTTGGACCCTAGAGGTGTGGATTGTTTGCAACTGAGGTGTCAATCCTTGCGGGGTCAAGAGAGGCATCGCTTGTACGCGGAGAGATTGCGAGAAGCAGGTTCTTTCATTGTTGTAGCCAAAGGCCCCAATCAAGTGAGAATCTTCATTGGTGTCAACAACTTCCCCAGTGTCAAATGAAGGGCAAGTTCTTCCTTCTTTCGGGCCCGCCAGCAGAATCGACTGCACAACATAAACAAAATCTATCAGTATCTTGAATCATTATACCATTAGCATATCTGCAATCGCACAAGTAAAACCAAGCTGTAGACTGAGAGGTTTTGTGTTGGGAACATAGTCCAGCAATAGGAGATCCACCAATGGTCTCAATCTTGTCCTTACTTCCAAGGAAGCCCTTGCATGGCTGTCATCAATTCAGAAATGCTTTCAAAGTTGTCACCAGGATCCTCTTCATCGTCCTCAAGCTCATCATCGTTCTTAGTATCATTGCCGCGGCCAAAACTCATGGTAAATTCCTCAAGATAAAACTCAACTTGAGGTTTCTGTAACATTCCCAAAGCCATTCCTTTGTTTTCTTCATCATGTTCATAAGAGTAGAACAGCCTCCACTCAAATTCTGCGATTATTTGAAATTGTAGAGCCCATTGCCGCGCAAAACTGTTCTGTATTCACACCCCCCCCGGCCATGTCCGTGAAAACTACCGGGAAGTGCCGACAAATCCAGTATGGTGCTAAAGGATTGTTGTTTGTCTTTTCGAAATAGTGACCTCAAGATTTCTCTCAAATCCACTGAGGACCCCTTCAGACAGATAATCTTCATTCCATCCTTTGTGGTGCGGATTTGGAATAGAAATGGATACAATGGATCCATCCCCATTATACCTGTATTTCGTTTCGGTCACACTGTCGCATGCATCTTCCAATACAAATGACGCCAAATTGATTTTGCGGCGCTTCCCTCTTGTGCAGTCCTGGTGGCGATTCCGCCATGAGAATTCGATCATGAGAACTACATCTTCTGGATTCAATGAACTCATAATAGGACGGTCATCTTCATCCTCATGATGAATGAGTTGTGCCAGCTGCCATCCTCTTGTTGGGGCAAAACTTCTTCGCAGAACAGCAGCAGTTTCAGCTCCATGGGTAACATCAATCAAATTGTCCCACAGCGGATCATCTTTCTCATCCAAGGTCTCCCGCCATCCACGAGACAAACAGCGAAGAGCCATGGCATCTGACAGGGTCAGCCAAGAAGCACAAAGGGAGCGAACAGTAGCAACGTCCATGGTCGGTTCTGTTCCAATAGCTACCGTCGCTAATGGCCGGAAATGAAAACTGGAACTTCAAAAAAATGACGGAAGACAGAAAGAAGTCAGAAAAGCTGCTTTCTGAAGCAGCGGAAACTTCCGTCGTTGTCCGGCTTTCTCGACTCTACTCAGAACTATCTATAGAGTGATCTGGGTATTAATAAGACCTGCAGTGCATTAAGGCCCACGTAATATTCTTGGGATTGTACAGTAATTTCTATACTACCTAAACCTAAGACCCACCATAGACCGTAGTACGGTGTAGTAGAGTCTACTAGTAGTAGCTACCCATAGCTAGCTAGCTGGCTATGTTAGAGCAGTTTCTGTTGGATCTCTTGATGTGTATGCAGCCTCACTCTATCAGCTACTTGGCTGTGTCGATAGTACATGTATGCATGGAGGAAGGAGTGAGGTACAGTCGTACCGGTACGGTACGGTACAGAGTGTTGATAGAGGTTCTTCGATAGAGGTGCTTCGATACCAGTAGAGGTGCTTCGATACCAGTAGAGGTGCTTCGATACCTCTACAGTCGTACCCATAGAGGTGCTTGGCAGGTGCTTCAATAGAGGTGCTACCACCGCTCTGGTACCATGGAGGTGCTGAAGAAAAGGAGTAGCGGTGGCTGGTACAGTCATTACTAGAGGCTACGTGTGACGTCATGTAGGATCCTACGTAGACTCAGTACTACAGGCTACGTGTGACGTCATTCGGTCTTAATATGTGGTGAAAAGAATTGACCTGTGAGTGGGTCGATATCTTCAACCGCCCGTAACTCCACCAATAAATACACTATGAGGTTGCGAATTTTGTGGCATACTCAGCTGCATGTGCTCTATCCATTCCACCCTTTACAAGTACTATATTCGATATACAGCCCTGAAGAGAATATTGCGCGAAACGGTCGGTCGTAAAGCCCAGATCACTCTAGTTTTCGTTCAAAGTTATCTCAGGACGATCCGGCAATTTGGATTTATGACGTCAGTTTCACGACTGAATAGAACTGTCGTCAAACGTGCGACAGCACCATTTAGGCAACAGTTTAGGCGACTGTTGAAAAATAGGCAACCATTTAGGCAACAGCTAGGATTTAGGCAACCGTGACTAGGATTTAACGAGTCGTTTCTCGAAGAATTAGGCAACAGTTTAGGCAATTGTCTAAAAATAGGCGACGATTTAGGCGATTGCCTAGATTTAAGCTACTGTAAATCTACGTGCAACCATTCAGTCGTGATTCATAATTAGCTTCGGCACTAATTGCCGGATCGTCCAGGCGAGGTCCTATCCATTCTCCATGTGTGTCCTCCGTGCATTCGCGAAAAACATTTATTTTCGTCGATTTATTTAGGCGTACGAATCAAGATTTCATTCCTATCCATGTGACACACATATTGAATTCGCCGTACGGGAAAGAAACATCACCTCGAATCCCCAACTCTAACGTGATTCGATTGAATTCGAATGACCACCAAATCGATTAATCTCCATATTCCTCTCATTAGAGTTAGTGTCTTGTGGTTGGAACGAGTTCGGCATGCTCTAACGTTCTGATTGGTCCTACGCGAAATCCATTTCCACGAAAGCTGCGGTACGGCGAATTGAGAATGGGAAATCAATGGTTCGCCGTACCGCAGCTTTCATGGAAATGGAGTGAAAGCAAGCCAATTTTAACAGTTAAATTGATTTCGCGAACGAAGGGAGGAATAAAGAGGTAAGAATCGCTGGTTAGGACCGCGCCTCAGGGGGCCAAGTTGTCTAGGAGGTCTAGCTTATTAGATTGATCAATAAAGAAAAACCGAGCAGTTTTGCCAGGAAGCCCCGACTAAAGCAATCGAGTTTCTAATAATGGAAGCTTTGCTACCAGTATGGTCATACTACTTTTATCCAGTTCCTCCTTGCTTGTCGGCACTGATCCTGGTTCGTGTGGCTGACCGTCTTCTTGTGATAACATGTGTTTGGATTCATCTTTTGTTCGGAGCTATTACAGTACCACTACTATGCATAGCTAGAGCTATGCTGTGAATAAGCGTTGGGTGCCGGTACACGGAGCGGGACGCAGCTAATAGGTACCATGGTACTAGCTAGTAACACTATCGCCATGACTCTAAGCAGAGCAATGTGGAAGCACACTTGCTCCTGCCTGGACTGGTACGTCACCGTAGATAGAGTTAGGGTTTTCAAGGGGATTGATCAGTCGGTAGGAGCCAATCCAAGCCACACATTGCATGTAGCCACCAATCGAAGAGGACAATGGCGTCCTTTTCTTTTTCTTCCGTTCGAACGAACGGCTACTACTATGGCTACTGCACTGTTACCAGCTCCGCTACCGCCACTGCTACTACTGCTACTATCGACCTTTGGTCCGGTTGCAGGAGCCCTATTATTTGCTGAACGATCGATCGATCGATCGGTCTTCTTCGTGTGCTATGATGCGTTCACCACCTGGTGCTTCGCTAGCCACAAACGGCGAGTCACCGCCTGGTGCTCCCACCCCATCTTGAGCGACACCAACTGGTGCTTCGCTCCCTCCGGCCTTTATGCGTTCACCGCCTGGTGATTCGCTAGCCACAAACGGCGAGTCACCGACTGGTGCTCCCACCCCATCTCGAGCGACACCAACTGGTGCCTTGCTCCCTCCGGCGCTTCGCCCCCTCCGGCCTTGATGCGTTCACCAACTGGTGTTTCTGCTAGCCGGTATTCCTCTCTGCCGTTGTTGCCGTGCGTCCGACTCTAGGGCCATGGTCGATGGTTGATTTTCGCGTTTCGCGATTTCAACAACAACAACAACAGATCGGCCCTTAAGTCTCCGACAGAGTGGCTTTAAGTCTTCCCCGGACTGCCGCCTAAGTCTTGTACTCCTGGCAAGATTGGTGGTCCCCTATGTCTCGGACTCCTGACCGGATTGGATTTCACCCCCGCTTTAAAAATCCGGAATCGGACTGACGTCATTCGGTGACGTGTTTTCATCCGTGCTTTCGAAATTTTTTAAGTCGATGCATGAAAAGTCCTCCGCGCGAAGACGATGCTTGAAAAGGACCATGGACCTCTAAGTCTTTCACTTCGCCCTCTAAGTCTTCGCCCCGCCCTTAAGTCTCCCACCCACCGGTGACTTGGTGCGCCGCCAGACTTTTGTCCAGGTGGTACTGGTGGCGTGTACTGTTCCACACCACACAATACAAAGCCACACCAGCCACCCAATACAGTGACAGCCTTTGATGCCTGATACCATGGTACCTGACCAGGCACCTGTGTCAGAGATTGAGGTTGACTCATTGCAATGGATCCCCAGTTCAAAAGCTACCTGGCTGGTAGCCTTTTGGATTCTTGGATGGGGTTCAAGCCCTGTGCAATCCTACAGCAACAGTACCAGTCTGAGCTACTGTGGTGGTGGCCCTGGTTCCTCCCATTCCAAGCTATGCAGTGCAACACTATGAGGTCATAATCCCAATCCTGAAAGCTTCCAAACAAGCCTTCCCTGATTTGGACCACTGCATCCTCCCTCTTGTTGCCTTCCAGCTACCTGCCTCCCAGTTGTTGCCTCCCTTTCAGTTGCTGTCCTGTTGCTGTGAGTCCTTGCTTTGTCCAGCTCCAGCCCCAGTTCTGTTTGCCTGGTGCTTTTGCTGTTGGTCCTGCCTTTCTCCAGTTCCTGACTGTTGTTGCCGCTCCCAAAAGCATTGTTGCCGACAGTTCATTGAGTCATTGAATTGTCCCACCAACGACTGTTGTTGCCGCTCCCAAAAGCACTGTTGCCGACAGTTCATTGAGTCATTGAATTGTCCCACCAACGACACTTCAACACTCTTTCCAGCACCTTCCCCAGCATGTCCGCTGATCTTCTAGTTCGTGGCAAGGCCCACGAGATCAAGTCTGTCTCCAAGGCTATCTTGGAGTTGACTGATGAGGCCACCCGCCAGTTTGTTACCACCAAGCTCCAGGACTTGTTTGATCCCATGGGATTCAGCGGTCAAAGCCTTGATGTGGCACGGCTCAACCAGTCGTTTTCCCTCCAATCGGTGTGTATCATCGACGGCAAGGTCCAGCCCTTGACTGCACCAACTTTGGCAGAGAAGGACAATGTCGTCTCTGTCATTGCCAGCATCAGTGACACTATCGGTGAGAGTATTCCTGTCCGTGTCCCCCATGATGCATTTACTGGTTTCGTCACTTCTTTGGCCTCCAAACAAGTGGTTGACGATCTGAAACTGGTCCACTTTGAAGCCAATCCGGCCTCGGAACTGGCTGCTTCTGCCAGTACGGAGGAGACCCCAGTCGTGGTCGGCATGGAAGCCCTCCAGTTCGAGGGTGCCACTGCCGATGCGAAAACCCAGCCTTGGCTGGTGCTGCTGCCACTGATCTTACCTCTCCCGAGGGGAGTTCAGTTCAACTTTGCGGCCACCATCGATTCCGATCCAGCTACGGTGTCGAACTGGCCTTACGCCCAAGAATGGTTCCGTGCCCAGCAATACTTGGCAAAGCGTTGTGACAGTCGTTCTGTCACCGGCGCTGGAACTCTCTTCCAGATGGATTCTGTTGACATTACCTCGTGGACTGACAAGCACACACTCGTGGACCCTAGGTCCATTCAGGCTTCAGCCATCCAGATGACTTTCAACGACCTCGATTCGGCCCTAGTCAAGGCCACTATCCAGTTCAGTTCGAATGCTCTCTGGAAAGAGCTTGGTGCGACAATGGAGGCCCCAGTCCCTGTGACTCCGCCTGGTCCAGCCCCTGGTGCTCCGGGTGGAATGCCATCGGATCTCCCCGATATGTTCAGGGAATTTGGCACTACCATGACCGAGTCCATGATCAGAGCCAACACCAGCACCAGATCCGGATCGGAACGGCAGCATGCTACCCAGATGCTCCGGACCAAAACCTGTTACCACATCTTCTTCGGTCATTACGATGATGGTGTCTTTACCCCAACCGTACTCAAGCCTGACTTCGAGGCAGTTCTGGTTCCCACACAGCCTTCCCCTGCCCAGCAAGCCGTGAGTTCGTGGGTCGAGTCTCTCATTACAGAGTCTCGCCAGAGCGTGAACTACCGC